AAAAAAAAAAAAAAAAAAAGACCATGTCACATATTTACTTTCTCAATGTGAATATAAAGCTAGTATTCTGTTGTATGAATGCTAACAGTTGCAGACACGGTGTAACTGATTTGTAAAACCTTTCCCTGCTATAGACGGCGACTGGAAAAAGGCCCGCATGCAGAGGCAGTCGCCGCTCCACATCCTGGAGCCGGTGGATTTGCAAATGGAGTTCAGCAGGGCCATGGTGGTCAAAGACTCACGCATGGCAAAGTAAGTGTAAAAATGAAAAAAAAAGACGACAAATTTATAACTGGTGAGGGTGTGTTTGAATCCAATTTAACCATGTCGTGGCTCAAATTGACCGGTTTGAATGATTAAAAACACTTTGTAAGTAAAAGTACACTCAGCTATCTCTTTCTCTAGCCCGTTTTAAGATGGTGGTCCTGTCACACGCGAATGAGCCACTGCTCATCCTGCGCACCCCTGGACTGTTGGGTCAATGCCGAGTTCGACTTTTGTTTCCATGACCGCTGAATGCTGAAGTATTAAAAAAAAAAAGTTGTTAGTAACAGTGTATGTAGCCAAGAACACTGAACTTTTTTTTGTGTGTGTTTTGACATACTCATGCTTGGCAGATCTTCACCCATCGTAGCTGCCAAGTCATGGCATAAAAAATCATTGTGTGGATGGTATTATGTAAATTATATTCACTGATGTGTCACAGTGCAGCCCCACTGTTAAAACAAAAATTCATAATGGGTCACTATGCCTTTTTAGAAATAGGCAACTTACAAAAGATTTACAGTAGTTGTTTCATTTCACACTTGATGCGTGGGCAGGCACTGAAGATAACTCTTTGTGTATAAGCTATTTAAACAAATCATATTTCCTCTTTAACTCCCCCCAGATATAAACTGTCTGGACAGCTTCCTCTGCTCTCCCTCCGAATCTCCGACGTCAAACTTCGAAGTGTTCTGGAGCTGGTGGACAGTATCCCACTGCCGCGGACGAATTCTGCTTCGGCCAACACTGGCGTGCCCCCACTTTCAAAGGTGCGCGAACCCGCTGGGCAACATGACCCGGGAAATAGCTTAAAAGCATCACACAAATTAACAAGCAGATGTGCAGCCGTGCGGTAATACGTAGCCTCAAGACTGAAAGTATACATTCAAGTCTGTTGAATTTATAAATGTCTAAAGCGTGTGGCAAGGGTAAAACATTTTTTTTCCGACATAATGTGGTGTCTACATTGCACCTCTTATGAGTGGGTATGGAATGTATCCCTGCGATTAACAAAACTTCACACTATCCAGTATTCTCTCTCAGTTGGTGAAAACAAGCTTGCAGTGTGCGGTTGTTAAAACTCACTTTCTAAAACTGGCACAATGTTATTTTTCAGTCAAGAGTGGGATGTTTCGGATATTCATGCTTAAATACAGGCACAATTGCATTGCTACACATTTGTCAGAGTGTTATATATTCGTAGAACTTGTACTGTCTCCTAAGCCCAAGCAGTTCACACCACAATTGTCAACGAGGAGACATCTGCAGTTGACCGACAAGCGCTCCTCTCTGATTTTCGAGTCATGTGAGACCATCAGCATTTCTTCACTCGGTGAGTCTGGTCATCTTGATCCCTCTTATTGTTTACATTCACACGCACTGTCATGGGATGCTAATGGGTTTTGGTCTCCTCAGGGTCCGAAGAAGACTTGTTCTACGACGCCCCCAGCTCTCCTATCACGGGGCAGCAGTTCTTCCCCGACAGTCCCATGCCGCTGCGCTACGCCGACCTAAACAGACGAAAGGGTGTCGCACAGGAGGAGCGTCAGAAGAACATGACTGACTTTGTCATGACGTTTGAAATCAGCGAGGTAATGTTGTTCCACCCATCAAGCGTGAACTTGCACAGCCAGGTAAATCTCTTTCGTTATTTTTAAACCTGCATGTTTGTTTCAAGTTCTGTGTCCAGTTGTGCCGCCTCATTGGCAGCTGTCAGGAGGTCACAGTGCTCCACTTGGAAGTGGAGGGCCTGGGCACTGAGCTGAAAATGCGCACCTTCGACATGACATCCAACACTTACCTCAAGGAGATCTGCCTCAGGTGTCCCGAATATACAGGTCAGTATTTTAGCCCACAAAATGGCTCAATCCTGCCTTATGTTTGGGTTAGGGCGAAAGAAGGGGTGCACCCTTGACTGGTTGCCAGCCAAGTACAGGGCACATCTGGACAAGCATTCATATTCAAATGCATACCCTTTTAGCCTTTTATATCACTGTCGGGTCAATGTATATTATGTCCATGTAAATACAAAGATATTTGCAACGTTAACTTCCATGTTTGCTTCTTGTGTAGATTCCCAAAACAAGGAAATTCAACTCATCACTACTTTGGATAACACAGAGGTCGATATGCTCACACTAGAGTATATTAAAGTAAGTAAATGGCTTGTAAGATTATTTTTCCAAGTGCCCCCTTTTTAAGTGTTTTTATAATATAACTATTGATGATCTATTTTTAGGCTGAGAAAGACGGGCCTGAGTTCAAGTCCCTCCACAATAACACAGAGCAGCTACTCAAGGTAAAGTTTGATACACACATACCGATTCTAAACATTTGAAGCATTTTTTTTTTTCCTTCAACATATTTTCGGTCACTTCGTGTTGACTAGGAGGAAAAAAAATCACTCTTCGCACTCTCCGCACCACAGCATAATTTCTCAGGATAATCTTTTATCGACAGCCGATAACCGGGCCTTTGCTCGTTTTGATATGCTATGTGCAAATTTGGCCTAATTGCCGGTGTGCATGTACACTGGACCACCGTTATTCATGGGAAATAGGAACCGGCCAATAACAAAATTCCCTGTGTAATTGATATCATCAGAAGAATTGTTGAAAAAGTGGGATATGGGGGAAAAACCTCCAATACCTGTTTTCCATTAACAATTTGAGCCCCCCCCCCCCCGGAAGAACAATCTAAAACAGTGACTAGGTGAATTCATGTTTGAAAAGCCGCGAGTGTGCAGGGCTTCACCGTTGTCCCAATAAAGGCAAGGTGGGACTTTGCACTCGACCACTTGACGTTCACTGATGACTATAAATATGTGCCGTCAGGTGACTTTCTCATCGCTGGACGTTAATCTCCACACGGAGGCGCTCCTCAACACCATGCACTACCTCAACGGTCTGATGCCACAGTACACCCAAAGGGAGGAGAGCGAGCAGGAGGAGCTTCACACCATCCGTGAGGAAGACGAGATGGACGAGCTGGACGAGGGCAAGACGGAGGGGGCGGTCATTGCCAAGAGAAAAAGTACCACTAACTTTGATTTTCTTTTGTGGGGGGATGACCAGGTTATTTCAAACCAAACTAAGCATACCAACAACAATCTTACTGCTCTCACAGCACCAAAGAATTCCAAGACCACAGCCATCATCAATTTGCACCTCCGAGCCGATCTGCGCTCTCTGAAGGTTTACATTCGAGGGCAGCAAGATATGATCTCGGAGATCAGAATCGAAGGTACCATTCAAGAATTGACGATCTAGTTGTACATTTTACATTAACAAACTCCTTCCCTCAATTTCCTAGGCCTGGTTTTTGAGGTTCTGATGAGGAAGCGAGAGATGAAGGTCTTGGCCAACCTGAAGAACTTCATCATGTTTGACTGTCACGAAACCGCCTTCTATAAGAAGGTACAAGTGCATTCTCATCTCACCTTCATGGCCGCCACATTAACTTTTCAACCCCTTGCCGGATATCTCTGCTCTTAGGCTGTGTCTATAGCAGACAGGGAGGTGTTTGCCTTCCAAATGATCCAACACACAGACGCGACCGAGGGAGACGCCTACTTTGACATGTCTCAGGTTGACACCACAGTTACGTTGACAGTGGGATGCATCCAGGTTATCTTCCTCAACAAGTTTTTGTCCTCCATACTGGTGAGAATCGCACGTATTCCTGCCATTATGACCTATTGTGTGGGTTCCATCAGTCAAGTATTAACAGCGCCCGCAGATAAATAAAAATGAACTTATTGGTCATCTTCTGCCCATCCCTGAGTGAGTCGTCGTGTCACCCTGGCCACCCCACTCAAAAAGTTCTGGCTTCACCTAATTTACTCTAGTGTGCGTTTTCACAAATTTCTATATTGTACTGTTTACATAAATACATTTTTTTCAGAGATTATAATGGAGTAATGGTACTTGCATGAATGACATCAGTTCACGATCTGAAGTGCTCCACCCCCGCAGGCGTTCATTAACAACTTCCAAGAGGCCAAGGAGGCTGTCGCCGAGGTGACCCAGCAGGCGGCCGAAAAGGCGGCATCCGGCGTGGTGAAAGAGCTGTCGGAGCGCAGCACTCGCATCTCTCTCAACGTTCACTTCAAAGCGCCCGTCATCTTCATCCCGCAGTCGTCCTCGTCCCCCAACGTCCTGGTGGCCGACTTGGGCTTCCTGTCGGTCAAGAATCACTTTGCCAAGCAGCCCTCGAAGAGTTACCGCAAGATCCCGCCTGTGGTGGACATTATGGAAGTCAAGCTCACGGACCTCAAGATGTACAGGTATGACTCCACGTATGCATTTTTTATCGCTTTTTGTGTGGGGGGGGGGGGCTCAACATGTGTCAAAGCTGAAGCATTTTTTTCCACATTTTTTACCCAGCGTAGTGTCAACGTTTGATCATCTTTTTGTCATGAAAAAGGGGTTTCAAGGGCCCAGTCATCATCATGAATTCATTTTCTATGCAGGACGACATTTGTTAATGGAGTGTTTCGGGGTGAAAGCAACCTTTTGCAGCCAATCAGTCTGGAAGTGGAGATCCAGAGGAATCTTTCGTCCAACTGGTACCACAGCATACCCAACATTGAGATCACAGCTCATCTTATGCCCTTGAGCGTAAGTTCTAAACTTAGTGACATTGTTGTATATATTTTTCTAGTAACAGAATAATGTTGTGTGCAAAACCTCGAGGGCTGTGAAAAACTTTCAGTTCATCATGTAGGCCACGAGGGCCGAATAGGTTTAGACACCAAAAGTATGACTGAGTATTTTGTATTGTTATTCTTTAAGATTCTAAGCTGCAGCTTCCCACCTGTTGCACAAATGTGTAAAATGTTTGTTTAATTATTTATCATGGACAAAAGAAAGCAGTGGGTCATAAAATTCTGAATAAATTTTTAAAAAGAAACCCTGATTTGAAAACGGATTAAAAGCTTCTCAAGTCAAAATTCTTGCAAATACACATTCTGAACTTCCCAATTTTGTGAATGGGGAAATGAGGGAGATCTGTTCATCAATCTAATTGTCATCATGAGAAATCAATGTGATGATCATACTGTAAATATTATCTGACAAAGGTTTATCTTGTTATACTGAAAGAGGATTTGATTTTGTTCTGCAGTACTGATCAAACTAGAGGTAAGGAATTATCCTAACAGTGTAGATATTTGAATGGGCCAACCTAGTCGTCTCATTTTACAGAAAAAGTTGGGCTCACCGTCGTTTTAATGCTCTGTGTCTTGTCGAACAGTTGATCCTCAGCCAGGATGACATGGTGGTTATCTTCAGGACTCTCAATGAAAACCTCTCAGAGAACTCGAACACTGTCACCGCCTCTGCGCCAGCTCACACTGAAGACTCGACAGCTGATAAGGGATCCCGCAGCTCGGGAAACGCAGAAAGAGCCAACAGTAAGTTTTCACGAGTTGGCCAGAAAGTTAGGGAAAAATCTCAACATTTTTGATCAATTTAGGCAACACAGTCGTGACAGCGGCTGTAGTGGAGACTCGGAAGAATGTCAAACTGAAGACAACCCTGAAAGCAGACTTCAAGATTGACTCCATGGCGCTGGTCCTATTTAAGCCCAATATGAATGAGGTAATAAATTACAAGTTCAAAAAACAAACACAGGTGTGGCGTGGTACATTATACAGCTACAACAGAAGGTAGACATGAACAATCTAATTTGATCCAAAACAGGAGATAATGAAGTATTTGGACAAAGACAAAGAGTGTATACACCTGCTATTTTTTTTTTCCAATATTGTAATGCACACCAAAGATTAGCAACCTCAAATTTTGTGGTAATGCATACAATGACAATAAAGGTAATGTACAAAAACTTAAGTGCTAAAAATATATATGAAAATTACTGCCTTTACACACATTCGAGAATAATGCTAAAAAGCTTAATTGGGTAAATTAATTGGTGGGGCTTGGTTTGCTCACACTGCGTTTTTATTTTCCAGCTTCTCCTTTTGGAGCCGCATGATAATGAGCTGAAACTGGGCGAGTTCACCTTGGGCACCATTTCCACCTCCTTTACCATGTACTCGGACAGCTCCATGAAGGCCGCCGTCCGTCTGGCTACCTGCCTCCTCGATGACAAGAGGCCGAATAGCAAGACAGTCAGCCCAAGGTACGAGGGTTGGGAAGTGAGCCCGGTTACCGGTTACAAATACACGGTTCCCGTACTAAATTCATTCACGGCCGTGGACGTTTACCGCCAGTTGTGTGTTTTTCAACGTGTCGGTGTGGCGGAGGGTGTCACCGGTGCATTGTCCCATTTCAGGATGATGGCCATGCGTCCCGGAACGGAAAAAAACATGATGGTGGAGGTCAACTACCGGCGGAGCCACGAAGGCACCAACCTAGACACGGTGGTACAGGATGTGTACCTGTGCGCCAGCATGGAGTTCCTCCTTACTGTTGCAGACGTTTTCCTGAAAGCCACCAAGCAAGGCTTTGCTGAAACACCGCAAGCCAAGAAAAACCCAGTTCCGCTAGATAAAAACAACATCCCTGCCCAGCCAGGGGAATCAAGTGAGTGAGTGGATTGGAGACAAAGCCTAGACTGATGGACGCCCTCCCCCTCAAGTATTTATAATAATATTTAAGATAATATTTTAAACCCTTAATACTCATCATACTTTGATTCTAGAACTGTTTAATATTTCAAAGATGAGGTACACTTGTGTGCCATGGCACCCTGAGTGGGAATCTGCTCTGTGGCACCTGAAGTAAAAACATGTCATGCTCTTGAATTATCTTATATATATTTGCGTCACAGTTCCGTCTCCAGCCGTCGCGCCAAAGTCCGAGATGAACGTCGTCGTGCGAAACCCAGAGATCGTGTTCGTGGCCGACCTGACGCGTGCCGACGCGCTGGCCCTGGTGATGACCACGCAGTGCGAGTTAGTCATGAAAAGCGACGCAGAGAGTTCAAGGATGACGGCCGTAATCCAAGACCTCAAGGTTTGACGCTGTTTGCGTCATCGCCTTGCGAGAGTGTTTTTGAGAGCATTTCTTTGTCTATTTTAGGTGGTGGCGTGTCCTTTCCTCAGGGAGAAGAGACTACACAACGTGACCACAGTTCTGCAGCCGTGCCAGGTGTTCTTTCAAAGTTCTCAGTCCCCAACATCCCCGCAGGCAATGGAGATCACTATCAATTCTCTCTCGCTCAAGGTGATGACTGCTTACTAGGGCTGTACACGTATTCGGATGTGTTGTTACTGTCATTCATTCTCAGATGTTCAACTTTATGGGATTTTGTACTGTCTACCGCTTTATCCAGGTTTCGCCCATTATCATCAAGACGGTCATCACAATCCAGTCGGCCTTTAACCGCACCACGGAGACCACAGAGGAGATTGAAAGTCCTGTCCCTGTGGACATGTGGGAGAAACGGGACTGGAAGGATCTCAAACTGTGGTTCTTGGAGGAGCAGGGAGAAGCAAGCATGAAAGCAGCAGCCCCACTCATCCCACAGGGGGAGTCACTTAAGGTACAAGCCTCGATTATAGTTAGACTAAAAGAAGGGTTACCCTTATTTAACAGATTGTCCATCCTTCATCTCCAGATGGACATCAAGTCAATCTGTGTGACGTTGGAGGCTGGAGTGGGCCACCGCACCGTGCCCATGCTTCTGGCAAAATCCTCCTACCAAGGAGATGTCAACAACTGGTCCACGCTCATTAACTTGAAGAGTGAACTGAATTTAGAGGTAAGACAAGTATAGTAGTTTATGACAGATGCAGGCTTATCGTGTTTTGGCCATGTGTCCCTTGGGAGGAAACCAGTGTACCCGGAGAAAACCCACGCAGGCATGCTCAGAACATGCAAACTCCACACAGGAAGTCCGGAGCCGCGTCGAACCCTGCACCACTGCACTGTGAGGCTGACGTGCTAACCAGTAGACCGCCTGCCGTGTGAAATATTTAAAAAATGAATTTAAAAAAATAAACTAATGTAAATTGTAATCATGAGATAGTTGCCCTTTTATGAGGATAATTGAAATTATCCCAAAAATTATTCGTATGACATCATTTTACTTGTAATATTGCGAGAATTTTTTTTTTTTACATTGATTTAGTCGGATAAATAAATAAGCGAACATAAAGAACAATTTTAGCAACATGTGTGTACGGTGTTGTAATGGTTCATATGCCTCACAGAGTGGTACTCGGTTTCAATGTCAGCTCAGGCAATCCTGTGTAGGATTTCTTCCCACATTGCAAAAGGTGGCGTCAGTGAGTGTAAATGCTGCCACCCCAGTGTACTCTGCCCCTCAGCCAAAGCCAGCCAGCCGAGATAGCCTTGAGATAACCTGCCATCTCCATGAAGACAAGCGCGATAGAAAACGGACGGATGGATTGTGCGATTTCACCTGTTCAATGTAACGTTTAGGTCCATTACTACAACGAGGTGGTGGGTGTGTGGGAGCCGCTGCTGGAGCCGTTAGAGGATGAGATGAGAGATGGATTCCGACCCTGGAAATTGGAATTCAAGGTCGTCATACACTTGCATGTTCTAAAAATCATTATTTAAAAACATGGATGTGGATTTTGTATTTTTTTTTTCTTATCCATTTGTTTATACACATTCATTACAAGCTATCATAAAAGCAGTACACGTAATGTTAACAAACAACAAAATCCTATGCTTGCAGACACTGTCACTTACTAATCACCAATAACTATTTGAGGCACAAGAATTCCACAAATAATTTTAGTAAGTCCCGGTAGTATTCTAATTCCAAACATGATTACCTGGCAAATGATTACTTTTACCAGAAAACATTGATTGAAATAAGTTTTGCTTTAAATCAAGCAACCCTGACTGACTGTTTCTCACTTGTACAAGCAGATGAAAACAAAGCCATTGAAGAACATCGAGTGGGCAGATGAGGTGGATTACAATGTCCCTGATTACAAGACTGTCATTTTGATCAGCAGCAAGGACCAGCTCAATGTCACCCTCTCCAAATGTGGACTTGCTATGCTGAGTAACCTGGGCAAGGTGAGAACAGAGAAATATCTGACAATCTGTTCTGGGATATTCAAACCACACTGCATCCCCACAGGCTTTTGCCGACGCTGCCAAAGAGACGGCCGGGTGCTTCCAGAAGGACGAGGCTCCGTTTGTGGTGAAGAACCGCCTGGGCCTGCCCGTGTTTGTCCAGTACAGCGACATGTTTTCCCCGGTCGCCACGCACAGCAACGACCATATTGTCGAGCTTCAGGACGGCCAAACGCTCGGGATGGACTATTCCGTCACCACCGAGTCGGACCAGTTCTCAGCAATGATCTCGCTCAGTGAAAAGGACTTCTACATACAACCGAGTACGTACAACTATCTCAGATGTATTCACTCATGTATGTGACATTTAAAGACCTGAAATCATGGCTAAAACAAGGCCCAGTAATGCACCCGGGCACGAGTCGCCCGAAATTCATGCCTCATATTAAAGGGTGCTTGAGGAAGTAAATACTCAGTGAGATAGATAAAATACTTTGCTCACCCATGTTGTAAATGCTCTCACAGCTCCAGCGGGTCACACATCAGCCAGCATGATCCCCTTGATTAAAGTTGGACGGAGAATGTATAGTGTCATGCACGAGGTGTCGGGAGTCACGCGCTTCCTGGTCTGTCAGGTGTATTCCATGGAAGGTAGCAAGTACATCAAGATCCGCTCGCCTTTCCAGGTACGACGACGCACACGTGTGTCTGTTGCACGTCACAAAATATTTGTTTGTTTATTTATTTTTTTCTTTCTCGTTTCTTCAGATCATCAACCATTTCTCCATCCCCTTTAAAGTGTTTGAGGGGTCAACATATTTGGGTACCTCATTACCCACAGAGGAGTACTGTGTCCCTCTGGACTCGTACAGGTAACTGTACACCTTTACGTATTAATACAAAGCATTTTAGTCATTTTGGTCATCACAAGTCTGGCCTGTGTTGACTACAAGGGGCGGAGCAAAGGGGTGGCTTCATGTTGAAGACAGCAGCAGCACTTGATCACCAAATTGCTGAATCACACTTGTCAGCTAATGTGGTGAACTTGTGTATGCGTTCATTTGGCGGAGAAATGGTCAAACACAAGTGGAGAGCAGTGCATTTCAGCAGGGACACACCAAATATGGAAGCTGCCCCCAAAATATTGAGTAGAAGGAAAAAAAAGTCAGAAACTGTAATTAATGACCTGACACTTTCGGTGACCAAAATGAATTATAGCCAACCACGCCGTCAGTCGTGGCATGAGTCACACCACCGTCTCTCCTTTCTTCTCAGGTCTGAGCTGAGCCTCCAGCCGGTCACAGGTGAAGACGGTGACCAGTTTGAGTGCTCGGAGGGCTTCAGCTACGACGATATCAACCCCCAGGAGCCCAAGATTCACATTCAACAGGAGTGCCTCCGCAGCGGCAATCCGGGCGACGTGCTGACGGTCAACATTGTGCCTGTGAAGGACGCAGTGACGTTTAAAGACACAGGCGGCATTGGGGGCAACTTTGACGTGCCATATGTTCTCCATCTGTGGCCTTGTGTCCTCCTACGAAATCTGCTGCCTTACCCGATCACCTATAAACTCAATGTACGGCTTTACTGGCTGTCTGCATACGTCCAAAAAGGCATTACACTAAACTGCGGTCTTCTACTCAACAGGACAGCAGCGAGTGTGAAACAGAGTCCACATTGAACCCGGGCCACTCCGCCCAACTTCACACTGCCGTCATCAACCAATCCAGCCTGGACCTTCGCCTGATTGACTACCTCGCTCAAGACTGGTCTGCTCAGTACAGGTCTGACTTCCCGTATACATATACTCCAGTTGTTGTTTTTGCTTTTTTTTTCCTTCCTTGCCAAAATGTGTAATGCGCTCCCATGTGGGCTATCTGAGCCACAGTGGCGACGTACTTTCAGCTGGACATATGGTGAAAAATTAAACAATTTAATCAAACTCAAAATATACTTCTTTTTCTTTTATCTTTTTTTCCCAGTGGAATCTTTTTCAGTTTAATTACATTTTTTTGTAATTAAAAATGTATATCTAGCTATCTGGCGCTCTCGTTTCACTTGTAATAAAGCATTCTGTTGTCAACAGCCTGTGCAGTGAGCAGGAGGAAATTGCCTTCATCGTGTTTGAGTCCCTCCGCACGGAGGAGGAAGACTACGGCGAAGGGATGGAGAGGCTGCGGGCTGAGCTGGACATCGCCGTGCACGTCAAGCACGACCAGGGCCAGATGGTGGTGGCTATCCACTCACCATACTGGATGGTGAACAAGACGGGCAGACTGCTGCAGTACAAGGCGGACGACATCCACCGCAAGCACCCGCTGGATTATGAAATGCCGCTGCTTTTCTCCTTCAAACCTCGCTACTTCCTGAAGAACAACAAGGCAAAGCTTGGAAATTGTTGAGAAATGTAAGCATTTAAAAGGTTAAAGGATGTTTCTCGCCTCCCTCAGGTGCGTCTCATGATCTCTGAAAGCGAACTCTCTGATGATTTTTCCTTGGATACCGTTGGGAGCTACGGAGATGTGAAATGTAAAGGCCAGTATAAAGATTATCTGGTGAGTGTCTGGTGATTTTTTTTTTTGTCTTAATACTCATTAATTCGATTATTATTGGATTAAAGAATGGGGGCGGGGGGCACATGAATCATACATCCTTTGCCCACCCCTGATCTAAAATGTCCATAGGTGTAAATGTGAGTGTGACTAGTTTTTGCGCTGTACATGACCTGCGATTGACTGGCAACTAGTCCAGGGTGTATGCCCCCTCTCACTCAAAAGCCAGCTCATGTGTCACCATAATGAGGACAAGCAATCATAGAAAATGGATAAATGAACAAAACGCCACCGCTCCATCCCTCTCCCTCCTCCACTAGGTCGGCGTGAAGATCGACACCAGCAGCTTCAGTCTCACCCGCATCGTCACCTTCATGCCATTTTACGTGCTAGTAAACAGGACTAAGCAGACTGTCCTCATATGTGAGGAGGGCCAGGAGAACTGGACCGTAGTCCCGCCTGAACAGGTGAGAGCCTGCATTCTTCGGGCCGTATTTATGTATGATCTTTCACAATTTAAAACTGTTCCCAATACTTCAAACCTTTAACTAATTCAAATAAAGATGTGTTGTGGCACCCTAGACAGATGACATGAATATAGAAATAATCACTGTTATGTGAGCATAGGTATATAGACATATAATTTATATTTCTGCAATTTTTTTTTTTTTTTTTTTTTTAATGTGGTCATATTCTTTATCTTCTAGTCCGCCATTCCGTTCTGGCCTGAAAATGATGCCAAGCTTCTGAAAGTCAAAACAGAAAGCTGTCTGTCTCCGCCTCGCACCATCAACTTCACACGTCCAGAGAACTGCTTATTGCTGCACTTGGATAACACTGTAAGGACAATAAAATGGGTGACTGGTTGACTGTTAATCAAAGGAAACATTTTCTGTAGTCCACAGGATTATTATTAATTTTTTTTTTGTCACAGGTGGGCGGTATCATTGTTGATGTCAATGTATCGGACCACTCGGCCACCATCCGATTTTCCGACTACCACGATGGCGCAGCGCCCTTCCTTATCATCAACCACACTAAAGACCAGACCTTGCAGTTCTTTCAGAGGTCAGCCACAAATGTTCTTTTCATTATTATTCTCTTGACAAACTTATCTCCTTTTATGTGGTGACAAAATGCCCAAAGGTCACACGGATCTCCTGGTGAATATATATGGCCTGAAAAGTTAAAAAACACTGAATATGGTTCAAGTATGTGACAATGCTTCAGAAGTGCAACGCTGAATAAGTCATAAGGCTGTGCTACTACCTCCATCATAAAAGTGCAAGACATTAGAGTGTATACAGGAAGCCTTGCAATAGTCAAAGTGGAAGGGATTCAGATGTGTTTTGCGAGGAAGTTCCCTTTTGTGCATGTTTTTCAAATATATACATATTTTACACACGTTCTGTATGTATTTATGTTGTGGGTCATGCAGCGTACAGACAGAGTCCCCATGGGTGCCCAGTGAACTGCTGGATCTCTCTTTCTCAATGGAGGAGGCCAGGTAGAAAGGAGGAACGAGTGTGATGTCATCTAATCCGTTCCTTTATGTCAAATCATCATCCGTGTCAAACCATGAAAATCTTGCAGCGGAATTGCTCCTCATGCATTTTCCAGTGGTTCTCTTGTGTCAATTCTGCTAATACCTCTTCCCCATGATTGAATGTTTGAGACAGCTTCTTTGGACTGGAGGGTTGCCGTGGTAATACATTCTTGGTGGCTGGGTGCTGTCATATCGTCGCGCTTTGTGTCTGCATGATGTGCTTGCTGTCGTTTGCAATTAACCAAGGGAGTGTTTTGTTTTTTTTGTTTTGTTTTGTTTTTCCAGTGTTTGATGGCTTTTGTTTGTTGTGTTCAGCTCCCAGAAGGCAGCAGAAGTGGAGGAGGTACAGGCCGGGAAAGCCGTGCATTACACTTGGGCCAAGCCCACGGGCTCCCGGGAGCTCTGCTGGAGGTGTGGCAAATATAGCGGGAAGCTGAAGAGCGAAGAGGTGTGCGTAAAAAACACGTCAAGCTTTTTGAGAAAAAAAAAACAAAAACTGTAGAGCAATAAGACACTTGATTGGGTACATGTGCGCAGTGAGCGCTGTCGGCGACTCATGCACAACTGTCAGTTGCTTAACTACAATTGGCTACATCTCGTTTTGACCTGCAGCCCTCCTCATCTTGCATCCACAGGATCTGCTTGAGGACCTGGGGAAGGACGGCAAACTTTTTGTTATCTCCTTTTATGAAGGTAACGTCAAAACTGCACTCATCCAAGCCCGCCTGATCACCAAAGCCCATCCTAATTGTGTGGATGTGGTCTCCAAGGTCTCCAGCGCGTGGTGCTGTTCACAGAGGAGCTGCGCATCTACAAGCTGCTGTGCGAGAGCGAGAAGGCACAGTTAGCCGAACAGGAAATCATACTGTCGCTCTACAACGTGGGCGTTTCACTGGTCAACAACAGCAGCTGCCAAGAGGTCTCCTACATCGGGATCACCAGGTACGTCACCCGGTCCCATGTCGCGTCATTTTATTTTGGTGCCAATTGCTGTCCTGTTGCAGTTCCGACGTGGTGTGGGAAATGAAGCCCAAGAAGAAGAACCGGTGGAAACCTATGAGCAACGAAGTGGCTGACATGCTAGAGAAAAGCTTCAAAGAGTACATTGAATCCGGACCCATTGACAAAGCCATCGTCGACCTGGACAACAGCTTCCAGGTCAGACACATATCCTGAACTATACAGGATATCTACATCTACAGTATAAGTACATCTCGAGCTGTACAACCATATCTGCTATTTTTTTTTCAATAATTAATATTAACCTGTAAGGGAAATTCAGTTCACGGTGCTCTCTATTTTTATAACAGTTTTACTTTACTATTTTTCATTAATTATCATTGAAATGTGTTTCACTCCTTATATTGCATGTTGTTGTTCTCTGGCAGGTTTGCCTGTCTCCCAACGGGACGGACATGCGATTGCTGCAGCCGTGCGACGCCCCTCTCAGAAGGCACTTCCTGCCGGGCGTCAAGGTGGAGTACAGCGTCTCGCCGCGCCAGAGCTCCTACCGGGTCCAAATCCACCACATCCAGGTTAGACTCGAGTCATTGGGAAGCCAATTTGCTCCCAAAAAAACAAGGGGTCTTCACTGTATTCTGGACGTATGTCGCACAGATCCAGAATCAGCTCCCAGGAGCCATCTTTCCCTATGTTTTTTACCCGGTAAAGCTTCCAAAGTCTGTCACCATGGACGCAGGTCTGTTGAGCTGACCGATGTTTTGTTTGTTGTTTTTGTCTGTTTTGACCTATTTCGTCATTTTGTACAGAACCCAAGCCTCTGACCGACCTCAGCATCGTCACGAGGGCAGCAGGCCACTCTGACATCTCCCGCATCAAGTAAGGATGCTCTTTTAATTGCCATTTTTGGGTTTCACTATACTTTACAGTCTCCCTCCACATTGTTCGTCATTTTTCGCGGCTTAAATTGTAAATATGTAATTTTACTTTGAAGATTTTTTTTTAATGCTACAGAATGGCAGCATTGAGCAAAGATTAGTTTTTTTTTTGTTTTTTGTTTTTTTTAACAAGGTTACTCAAATCACCAATCGGATGGTCAGGAGAATGATCGATTCTTAAAATATTTCATAGCCCCGTCATTTTTTCCTCAGGTACTTCAAGGTATTGATCCAGGAAATGGATCTGAAGCTGGATCTGGGCTTCCTCTATGCAATCCTCGACCTGTTTACCCCAGAGGATGCCAGCGTCATAAGCGTCCAACAGGAGGTGCGGTCCTCCCGTCGTATAGTTTGACCGACAGCTTGAGTGCTCGTGTCCATTCACGTTCTGCGCTTCTGCTTGCTTTAGGTGGAACTGTTTGAGAAAGACGTGGAGTACATTAAGACTGAGCTGAATCACGTTTCCTCCGCTGATACCACGCCCATCAGCCTATACGAGTACTTCCACATTTCCCCCATCAAGGTACAATGCCAATTTACGATGTTATCTAAAAACAGATGCCAAAGGGGCGAGTCTTGTTTTTGTGTTTTTCCAGCTGCACGTTTATGCAAAAAATTATTACAAATAAATAGTACATTCATTTGTGGAAAATAAATAGAAAACAATAGATGAATAATTACATTTATGGGTCCAAAACATGGTTAAATATATAGAATGAAATTAATTATGGGAAAATATTTTCCAGAATTCATTTGAAGGACAAAATATGTTTTAAATACACAAAATTAATTTTTGAGAATAATTTAAACTATATTACTGAGAATAGTTTAAACTATATTCCTTATTCAATTTATATGGAAATCATTTTAAAATATAAATTCATGAGAAAAAATGTTTTGAAATAGTTTACGGTCAAAATTATTTAAAAAAAATATTTAAAACTATGTTAGTAAATATATTAATGGGAAAAATGACTTTAGTGTTCTGACAGTCATATATAAGGAAAAATGTGTTACCTGTTAAAAAAAGGCCTCTCTAATTAACATCTTACCTCTAAGTAATGCCTGGTACTCCCTGCAGGTCAGTAAATTATCAGTAGTATATGTTTAAAATTATTTTTTTTTACTATTTAAACATTTTTTTTTTTTTTTGCGTTTGTGTTTTGTTAGCTCCATTTGAGTTTATCTCTGAGTACGGGCGGTGAGGACGGCCTGAAGGGAAAGAGGGAGAGGGAGCTCATACCTGTCCAGTCGCTCAACCTCCTGCTCAAGAGCATTGGCGCCACGCTCACCGACGTGCAGGACGTCGTCTTCAAGTATGTGCCACTAATACGGAACAAACGAGTCACATCATCAAAGGGAAAGGGCTCACAATTGAATCTTGTTTGTGTCAGGCTTGCTTTCTTTGAGTTGACGTTCCAGTTCTGTACCACCCAGCAGCTCCAGTGGGAAGTCATCAGGCATTATTCCAAACAGGTAACCATGGTGATCTAGCACAGTGGTTCTCAAAATTTTTGCACAGGGGATCATGAGAAATGACGTGGCGCACCACAGAAGGCCTAACTATTCATCAAAAACAAGTTTTATTCTGAAAAGTTATATTTAATGTTTTTGTAAGTCATTCTTAACATTATGCACACTTTTAACGTCAACACTGTGCTCAAACAATCATTCAAAATGTATTGCACTAAAGTTGAATAAAAGATTTACCTGAATCAAAGTTTAAAAAGCAACAGTTCTTAAATGCAAATGTGACTCCTGGAATGAATTAAACGTGTAAGACAAGCTACCACTTTATATTTTAGGCAATCAAGCAAATGTATGTCCTGGTGCTGGGCCTAGATGTACTGGGAAATCCCTTCGGCCTGATCAGAGGGTTGTCCGAGGGAGTCGAGGCCTTCTTCTATGAGCCCTATCAGGTAAGGCGAAAAGTTCAAGTGCACATTTTAGTAATTTAATGGCTTCATTCGTGTGGCAAAGCTCTCTTTGTTACCATCGGGATAATTAAAAAAGAAAAAGAAAACCACAAAGGTCAAATGAATGCGCCAAACTATACTGAAGTGGTCGTGTTTGCATTTTGGTGTCCCACAGGGCGCGATCCAGGGCCCAGAGGAGTTTGTGGAAGGGATGGCGCTTGGAGTGAAGGCTCTGGTAGGAGGAGCTGTAGGTAAGCAAATCCGATTAGCGTAGTTGTGTTAACCATGGTTTTATTTCCGTTTTAAGGTCAGGTTCCAGTGTATTTATGTCAGTTTTCAATCTACTTGCTCAACTCAGTTTTCCTTGTATTCATGTCTTAAGTCAGTTTTCAGTTTTGTGTTACAAATGATGCCAAGAAGTATGCAATTTGAACGATGAAATTGGTACACACCACAGGGGGCATAGCGGGTGCGGCCTCCAGGATCACTGGTGCCATGGCCAAGGGCGTTGCTGCCATCACGATGGATGAGGAGTACCAGCAGAAGAGGCGAGAGGCCATGAACAAGCAGCCCAGCAGCCTCAGAGAGGGTCTCACCAGGGGTGGGAAAGGATTGGTCTCGGTACGCATTTCTCCTCTATGACACATTTACTGTTGAGAAGCAGTGGCTAATTTGGGATGTTTTCTTGGGCAGGGATTTGTTAGCGGAATCACAGGCATTGTCACCAAACCCATTAAAGGTAGGCGACACTATATTGACCACCCTATCCCCCCATTTAACAATTGTGTTGTTTTTTTGTTTTTTATACATGGCGTGTTACAGTTTACCGTGATACGTTCCAAACCCAACCACAATAGGTGAAAATCTGGGATGCCATGAGACCAGATTAAAAAAAAATAAACGTGCGGAATGTATTCCCATTGTTAATGGGTGTTCACTTTATTTAAATGTTTTAATTGTGTGGTGATGTCATCACGCAGGAGCACAAAAGGAAGGAGCAGCAGGCTTCTTCAAAGGAGTCGGGAAAGGTCTGGTGGGTGCCGTTGCCAGGCCCACCGGAGGCATCATCGACATGGCCAGTAGCACCTTTCAAGGCATCAAGAGGTTGCTTCTCTTTTTCACCATTTATTTCTATATATTTTTGAAGACATTTTAGCGGTTCATTGGACAAACAATCAAATACTAAATGAAAGCACACGCAAGGAGCTGCCGTAGGCCACAAATCGAGTCACGCGTTTCGTCCAAGGTGTGGATTTCCATGTGGGATTTTTGCATCTGTTTTAGGGCGGCAGAGACGTCGCAAGACATCGAATCCCTGCGCCCCCCTCGCTTCATCCACGAAGATGGCGTCATACGGCCATACAGGCAAAGAGAGGGCATCGGAAGTCAGATGCTTCAGGTAGGACCTCCAACGGAGTGACCTCATCGAGTCATAGTCCCCTAGAATAATGCATTTTGAATTGTGCTACAGTCCAAATAACTTCCACTTACAGTGGAAGTTGACATTTGGGCAGTGACCTGTCAAAAGACTCCCAAAAACGCTCAGGTCACAAATATTTTGCATCAGATGCTTGCTCTTTTTGCGTATCGTGTGAATCAGGCCAGCCAGTGACTCACTGTAACCTCCAGAGGCGGACAGCGGTACTACAAGTCAGGCGGTGCCCTTGCGGGGTTGCCTTCCATGAATTTGAGAAAGCAGCCAAAGTTCCCGAGCCGTTTGTTATGACGTGATGGAATATGAATGCGTGCACGTTCACGCAACGTATTTAGAAGGCATTGAAAGTGAAATCACAAGACAGAATCTCTGCAAGGAATGGGCCACATTTTTTCACTTTGGACTTTGAGGTCAGAATGATGCACAGCGGTGCTTTAATTATGATGATTGTTGTTCTTGTGACGCTGAGTTTTGAGAAGTTGGATCGATGGTTAGCGAGTGACTCGGAAGGGCCATCGACAGCCTGGTGGGTTTGTGTAGTCGTGTGTCTGATGTTGTGACCTTCTCTCTTGTCATGTCCACAGAGTAGCTTGAGCCTCAGTGACTTCACTGACAGTGAGGATGAGGATGAGGATCAGGAGGAGGATTATGAGGATGAGGAAGACAGCTAGCGCTCCGAGCTCAAAATAAATAAATACAGAAATAAGCAAATGATTTATTTCTCTTTCTTGGAAGGTAGTAAGACGTTGAGTGCTCACTGAAAGCATTTGCATTAAAGCACTTCGTGAGGCTTCTCTAAACCAAGTGGTCTAATATATGAGTTCAGCACTGTGTGATTATTATTATTTTTTTAATTCTGCCTGAATTCTTGACAGATGCAGGTACTTTTTTTTTTGTATTTGTAATCAGTTACATTTTTGTTAGACGTGTGGTTTTTTTGGGGGGGGGGGGTTCTCATTCCCTTTTTCACCAATGGTCATCTTTTCACAATCTTCGTCTTGGTGTTTTTGCCATTGTTATTTTTTTTTCTCCCCATTATTGTTTTCTGTCCTCCATCTTGTCTCAGATCCCCAACATTTCCCCAATAAAGTTTTGGACATTTTCAAACTCCACCTGCCATTTGTTGTCTTTGTTTTTCAACCCTACCGACACACCCGCAATGTCAACACTCCACGTCAAGTCATTTCAGAAATGTTAATTGTCACTTCCTGTCCCGTGTGCGTGTTGTGTGTCTCTGCAGAAAATCGAGAACGGCCGTTTTGCTAAATACCGATACTTTGCTCACGCTAAAGTCAATGACTCGGACTTCCTCATGATCACCAAGAAGTAAGTGTTCGCTCCCGCTTGTTGATTAATGACATCATTGATCGCCTCCTTTGGTGATGATGATTTATTTTTATTTTTTATTTTTTTTTGCAATCCAAGGGGCATTTTCTTTGTGACCACGGGCACATTTGGTCAACTGATCTGCGAGTGGCAATACTTATTTGACGAGTTCACCAAGGAGCCCACCATCATTGAGAACCGACGACTTCGCATCGAGGCCAAGGTGAGTGCTTGCCTTTTATTTATTTATTTATTTTTTAAATCTTGTATGAAACAAGCACATAGCTTAATGCTAATGCTAATACATCACGGAAAACACTTGGTAATTTCCCGTGATTAATATGCAATTTATTGGCAGAAAAATATTGCAAAATTGTTCTCCCGCTTTGCTGGACATTACAGTATACAACATTTAAGCAACTGATTTTTATTTTTATTTATTTATTTACAGCAAGTGTGTTGCAGCAACACATTTCAGTGTTTACAGACGTCTATGTACAGTACATCCGTGTTTAAGATTTAAAAAAAACTCAAAATGAAGCATGTGTCTCTCATTTTGTGAGTGTGTTTTCAAAATCTGAAAAGATGAAAGCACACAGCACATGCATGCTTTTATTTTGATTGTCTTGGGGGAGAGGAGAGACAAACCTCACTTCATTCATCATTTGTGTTGCGACTGGATTTCTAAAAGAAATCTATCCAATTTGCTTTTCTATAAATCTTTTCTTCCGTGCGCAGGAGCGAGTCAAGTCGGTGTTTCACGCCAAAGAGTTCGGCAAGATCATTAACTTCAGGTCGCCCGAGATCGCCACGGTGAGTCACCATCCTTACGTTAGTTCCTCTCCGTGCTCGAACGGATTCCAACATCCTGGCTTGTTTTTCAGTGGGTTCTCGCTAAACTGGAGGATGCCAGGGAGAGTTTACCCAAATACTGAATGCAAACGCCACAACACAGAAGCTGTCTGAGCATTTATTCAATATCCAGTTGGATGCAGCGATAGGATGTTGAAGAAATGCCAAACACACAATGGAGCTCATGCCCATCAGTGCCTTTTGTTTGTTCACCCCACCTCGCGTGTTCGTGTGTGCGATTTTTATAACAAGTCTGTCAAATCAAATCTCAAGTTTACTGAACAAAGGGAATCATCACATTTCATGTTTATTTTTGCCCCCCCCTTCCCGACTTTTAGTGTCACACGCTCGCGTAATGACTCACTTTCTACTCGGCGACTCCTACAGTATTTTTTTGGTATCCATTTCCGCAAGCTAAAACTCTGGAGTGTGCGAGTTAAGACGCATGCCATTTTTATACTAAACTGCTGTATATTAATCTTGTAGGCTATGTATATACATAAATATATGGATGCATCCGTTCACAAATGGGTGTGATGGAAGCAGACTGTTTTTTCTGTTTTTGTATCACATTGTCACCATCCAATTACAAGCATAAACGTTTCCTTTTTTCGTTATTGTTTAAGCTCCAACACTACGAAAAAAAAAAAAATATATATATATATATATATATATTATATCACATATATATATATATATATATATATATATATTGGAAACAACCAAGATAAATCACAATTTGGGATTTTCTTTTTCAAAACTGACAAATTAAACTGAGAGATACTAGCATTAGTTTTGAGATGCAACCATTTTGAGTTTATTTTACAACAAAAATTGGACACTATAATTATTTTTTTTTTCTTTTTATTAACAAAACTTTTTTTGTTGTGTTTAAGAGACACGAATTTTTATTTATTTATTTTTTGAGTTCACACAATTTGGAGATGCATTTTTTTTCCTGAGGTTATTTTGTTTCCTTCTGAAACATTTCATTTTTTTTCAGATAAAAACTTAACAATCTCACAATATTGGATATTCATCACTTAATTTGACTCCCCCCTTATGAAAAAATTCAAGGTACAAAGTAATCCAAACAAACTCTGGAGATAATGTACATGCTTCTCGTTGGACAGTAATGATATGCAAGGCCAAACATGTTTATAAAGCGAAAAGAAAAATCTATTTAAAAGAAGGGAATCTAATGGTCATCAACATTCTTTTTTTTTATTTTTGCTCGAGTATATTTTGGTGCTGATGTACGTTTTCAGGTGTTCACTGCAGTGACTTCTTTCTGTTTAATAAATAAATAATTGGTGTGCTTGCTTTCTGCATCTCTTTCCGCACTGCACCAACCTCACTTTTAGCAAAAATACGAACACAAATTTTCTTTCCAAAAATGCCGAAGAGTTTTTGCTAAGGCACAACTTGGGTTATTACACTGAAACTGAATAAATAGAAAGGCACCGACTTTTGACAATGAAATTTTTTTTAAAAAAAAGAATATGGTTGTGGCGGTTAAAGCAGGTTGAAGACCTGAAGGTTCTGTCTGAGGATGGTGTCCTTGACGGCGGCGAACACGAAGCGGATGTTCTCCGTGTCAGTGGCGCAGGTGAAGTGCGGGTAGACCTTCTTGTCCTTATCCGGGTTTTGTTCCTGGTACATCTTGAGGATAAACTCTTGAGCTGCCGACGCGTCGTGACGAGGCCCTGAACGCAGAATATTAGGATGATTTAAGTCTTATTGTTCCCTCTTTTTTTAACCATCACATGGACTAAATTTGTGTCACATGTAAAAATCTGGATCACTGGAAGCAGACTAATTTTTTTTTTTTCCATTTCATGCTGTCATTGTCCAGTGAAGAGCATGCATCGGCATAATCTTTACTTTTTACATTTCAAGCGGTGTTAAAAAATAATAATAATAATAAAACAACACATCAGCTTTTGTTTTTCTCTTTCACCAAAACACAATTTTTGCCTAAAAACAAAATGTAAAAATGTCAACGTTCATCTGAAAACTTTTTTTTCAGTGATAATACAAAAAAATTACATGCTTTACTTTTTTTAAATTTTTTTCGGCAAAGCATATTCATACAATAGGCTGTTTGCATACTGAAATTTTTGTTTTTATATTGCCTTTTTCAAATTTTGCTTGCTGTTTGTATAAAAGCAGAAATCTCTTGAAATTTCTAGCTACGGGTTCTAATTTCTCTTTTGAATCAAAATATGTCATCCAATCGTGGAACCAACCAGAGAATTGTGGGAAGTAGTCGGCCAGGTGGGAGTGCAGGATCTTCTCCTGGAGGATGTCCGTCTTGTTGAGGAACAGGATGACGGAGGAGCTCTGGAACCATGAGTATGTGATGATGGTCTTGAACAGAGCCTTGCTCTCCTCCATGCGGTTCTGACAAAACGACACATCATCATTGCTCTCGTTTGGATTTTTAGTTACATTCTTAATCAGGTTTTGGTGATGTTTTTTGTTGGTGGCTTTAGTCAAGGATTGCCATCGTCAGTGGGCATCACGGCTGTTGCAGTGCCCTCACTTCATTGTCGGACTCCGCCAAAACTTGGTCGTACTCGCTGAGCGCCACCAGGAACATGATGGATGTGACGCCCTCGAAGCAGTGGATCCACTTCCTCCGCTCAGAACGTTGACCGCCCACGTCCACCATCCTAGCGCCGGCCGCAAAGGTAAGTTTTTATTTGAATGGATGCTTGTCGGTGGATGAGCTGGGCCATACCTGAAGATGACGCTCTCCATGTCGAAGGGGTACTCGATAATGCCTGTCGTAGGAACCCGGACTCGCAGGATATCCTGGAGGTTGGGTACGTAGCAGGGCTGCGAGATGCGATCTAGTTCGGTGAGATAGCTGGAGGGTCAACCAGGACAATTTTACTGTTAAGTGTTTTTCACTTGTGGTTTTTCTGGTCACAGGTTTGATCGGGATTTTTGTCATGGGTTTTTGGGTTTTGTCACATTTTGATCATAATTTTTTTAAACATTTTTTTGTGCACGTTTTTTTGTACTTACAATATAATAAATACAAAACCGTCGGTTTTCATAATGGTTTTGATCATGAGTATGCTAGGGCCTTAGTGCCTGAATTTTTCTTTTTGTGGTTATGCTTTAGTTGGAATTTTTGGTGAGCTATTTTGTCACATTTTGATCAGGATTCGGGTAGCATATTTTGGGCCAGATTTGCTCAGGATTCTAATCAGATTTTTGATCAAAATTTTTATTCATGACACTTGATCATGTTTTTGGTCAAAATTTTTGGTAAGTGTTATTTTGTCATTTTTAAAAGAAATATTTTGGTCAAGTTTTCAGTCATGAGGTCAGTCAGGATTTTTTTGGTCAGAATTATTTTGTCATATTTTTCAAAAGAATTTTTGATCATCCTTTTTGGTCATGGTTTTTGGTTCCGAGTTTTTTTCAGGATGATTTTGTTGTGTTTATCTGATGATCTTTGGTGACGTTTTTGTTCGGACTTTGAGCCTCACTACTTGGTGGAGTCGGACAGCTGGTATTCCCGGCGGCGATCGAAGCATTCCTGCAACCCGCCATCATTCCACAATCTCCCGATGGCTGCCGCGTGCTCTTGATCAAGGTCGTCCACCTTGGCCACCTCCACCTCCAGCAGCGTGTTGGCACTCATCTGCCACACAGCACAGACGTCCAAATGACGTGTTTGCGGCAGAGAGCCTTCCTTTTTTACCTGATGGTGTATGTCATGGAAGGGGATGTGCAGGGTCTCCATGGCTCGGATGATGGTCTGCATGGACGTGTAGATGTTCTGGTAAACCAGCTTGGCGTAGTTTCGCTTGTCCTCCTCGCTGTATCCTCCTCCGTGGATGATCCTCATCTGTTTGATGAAGGTGCTCTTACCGCTCTCGCCCGTGCCTGGTACACAGTTTTGGGCCGGTCACGTATTTTTTGTGATTTTTGTTGTCATGGTCATGTTTTTATTTTTCGGAAATGAGGAATTTTGGTCTTGAATTTTTGGCCATGGTTTTTCAATTCTACGTTGTGGTAAGGATCATGTGTTTCGGTCATGGATGAGGTCATGGTTTTGGTCATTGTTCATGATTGATACCATGATTTTATTTTGTTTTTAAGAATCTTTGGTTGTAGTTGTTGGTCATGATCATGTGTTTGCTCAGGCTTGAGGTGGTTATTTTTTTGGTCTTGAGTTTTGGTAATGGTTTTTGGTTAGGGCTGTGGTCATGATCGTGTGTTTCAGTCATGGATGTGGTTATGATTTATTATAATTGCTGTGACTTTTTTTGTCATATTCATGTTTTTGCTCAGGGCTGTGCTTGTGATTTTGGTCACAAATTTTGGTCTGAGTTTTGGGTGATGATTTTGGTCGGGGGTCATGTTTTTGCTCTTGTTCATGACTTATTGGTGATGATTTTTGGGGTCAATGTCATGTTTTTATTCATAGGTTTCAGTCAGGGTTGTCGTCATGTTTTAGTCGGCGTCATTGTCAAGATGTTTTGGGTCAGGAATTTTTTGCCAGATTCGTGATCAGAATTTTTTTTGCAGGGGGGCTAGGAGGGGAGTCATTGTTTTTGGTCATATTTTGGGGTCTTTTGGTGAATCATTAAGTCATGTTCATTAGAGTCAAGTTTTCATGATCATGACTCGGTCGGATTTGGTATGTTAAATCACTTGGAGTGACTTTCAGTCAGCACTCTTGCAACCGCCTCCACAAGCATGGCACAGACACGTGATTGGATACCAGTCGTGGAGTTGTAAAGTTGGCCAGTCTATACAACCCCTAACACGTGCGAGTTGCGCGCAACTCACACACACACACACACACACACACACACACACACACACACACACACACACACACACACACACACACACACACAAACCGAAAGCTGCATTATTTGCTTGTATTATATTTGACTGCCAAACGGACCTGAGGCAAACTGCCATGACAGGATGTGATCTTTTTTATTTGCTTGAATTTCTGCTGTGTTGTCCCTCCATTATGTATACATTTTTGGAGTGGTCGGAGGAGGGGGGATAACAAGTTCTATTTTGTTACACTTTCCGGCTTTCCATGCTTTTCATTAGACAGCGAAAAATGTGTTTTTGTTTGCATGTGTATGGTTGCTATGATAATCCCCACCCCCGTGCAGCGAGTTTTGCAATGCAACAGTTTCAGAAAAGTTGCCACTCGAGCAAACATGTCACGTGATCGTTTTGAATGCATCTTTGTTTACAAGTCAAGTTGCCTGGCGCAAACACGTTCTTTTTCAGTCTTCTTCACAAAAAGGAAGCAAACGAGCACAGTTTGGCGTCAATAATAACATGCATTTGTCCTACTCGTATCCCAGACTTGTCTTACTAGTCCTACTAGTCAGGACAAAGAGTTTAGTAGCACATGATGCACCTTAACCTGGAGATGAAGGATACTGACATCTCTTCCACAAGCAACTGCATGCATGAGCAAAACGGCAATGTCTTACTCGTCATGTCTTTTTTTCCACTACTCCACTGCGTTAAATTTCTTCACATTACTAGCATAACTGCACAAGTTGACATGGGCATGTTACCGGTACCGATAGGGTCATTACAATATTTTACAATTCAACATGTAGCTCTTCACTTTTTAGTACAAGTAGCTTGCAGATGTCAACAAGCGCACAGTTTTTAGTAACATGTCGTCCCGCGAGTGTTGTTTAAGGTTTGATTTGCATGGAGTTTGAATACGGGGCAGCCGCAGCAGCTATGTGGTCTTCCATCATACCAGCGCCACACCCAGGCCTCGACTCGCTTGAAAGGTTACCAAAGCAATCCTTGCAAAGTTGCAAAGCAAGGAACGTGGTAGGAAAATCTGATGTATTCCTTCAATAAGATTATAGCCTGATTTTTTTTTTCAGTCAGTAACAGATTTTTTGTTTTATTTGTTATTGAAGGGGCATGCACTGGTCACTTTATTAGGTACACCTGCACAATCCAATGAGAGACAGAAGTGTGTCAAAACTGACTGGCTTTAAATAAATAAATAGGATAAGTGTGACATCAAAGGCTTAGAATTATTTTTTTTTAATGAATAGGAGCCAGAAAATGCCTTCATTGATAAAATAAGCTTAAATTTAAACGCATGAAATGTGTTAAAATGAAATAAATCTCAGTTTGATTTAAAAATTCTGGATAGGTTGTTAAAAACAAATTACATTTGATTTTAAAAAATGGATAAGCAGTAGACAATTAAGCAAATAAAATACAATTAATAATAAAAAGAAAATCATTCAAATAACTGACAATTAAAAACTAGATAACCATCGAAAATTAATTCAATAGCAAAATGAGATTAAATTCAATGAATGAAATAAAAAAATACAATTTAATCCAGTAATAATAATAATAAAAAAAATACAATCAAACACAATAAAGCAATAAGCAGAACAAAACAAATCTGGAAAACAAAAGTCAAGCGATGGCTGCACAACCAATTAATGAAAATGAAATGATATTTTCTAATTGAGCAGCATAAAATCTCTTTGCCGATAAAATTAGATTAAAAAGAAAAACGTATTAAAACTAAGCAGCGCAATTTAATTTAAAAACTAGAAAAGGAGTAGGAAATGAATGAAATCAAGATTGCATTAAATTAAAAAGCGGTAGAAGATTCTGGTGACATCGTTTCATGGCACGACTAGGTCAAATCATTAGAAACAGCGTCCACACCACCTCCAACTACATCAATCAACTCACCGTGTCCATCCAAAGTTACCTTGAATGTATTTCTAAATGCAGAAATCTTGATTTCAACCTGTCATGTGTTCACCCACCATGGGTCACAGTAGGCAGCACACACACCAGACACCCAATTCAATTTCCTCATCAAAATGAGTCGCTCTTACCTAAGAGGAGCAGCTTGAGCTCCCGGCGGCAGTTCTTCTTGTCTCTCTTCAGCTGCTTCTCGATTTCGTCGTTGATCTGCTGCCTCACCCGGGCCTCGGACGACATGCAGCATCCTCCCATGTCTGAGTCTCAAACGCACGCCAGTGTTGCCTCGCGCTCCTCTTCCTCACTCACGGGAAGAAGGCCCTGAATAAACATGATGAGGTGTGGCGACTGCACGCTGGTGCCGTGATATCAGATTATCCTTTTGCCATTGAAATCAATGGAAATGACATGAGGTCAGTCAGCGTAGAGCGCATTTCAAACACGAGACAACTCACTGCGATTTACGCCGGGCAAAGACAAAACAGCTACAAGCATCGATAAACACTGCAGTTAACGACATTCAGAAGCAAAGCAGAGAAAACAAAAGTTGCTTTCAAAAATTACGAGCAGGTGGGTTGACACGTTAAGAGATCACTTAAGTAAAGAAATTAGAGTAGGTTTCGAAAATGTCTTCAGTTCACTTATCCCATTTCTATGCAGCGTAACATCGAAATGCAGCTTCACCATGTTTACTTTGACCACTGGGCTCCAGTAATTGACCCTGCGGATCTCATAGCCCAACTGGGTTGATGTTCACTCAGCAATTATTTCATGTATTCAAGACCCAAACCATTCAGTGATTTATAGATCAATTGCAGTATTTTTGGATGTATTCTACAGCTGATTGGGAGCCAGTGCAAGGCCTTTACAACTGGAGTAATACTTTCTGACCTTTTTTGTTCAGGTCAGAACCTGAGCGACAGCAATGTAAATGAGCTACAGCTGTTTGATGCTCTTTTGAGGGAGTTCAGTTAGAAGACCGCGACAATCATCAAGTCTGCTGGAGATAAAAGCATATGGTAGATTAAAATTCTCCTCGTCTGCTTGCTGGTTAATTAAACTGCTGTCATTTGAGGACACAGATAAATATAGCTGTATCATCTGCAAAACCATGATAGCCAATATTAGCATTCTGAAGCATTTGACCCAAAGCTAACATCTACAGACTGAACAAAAGGGGTCCAAGGCCTGACCCTTGAGGGTCCCCACATGTCATGACCATACCATGCGATCAGATTGAAAGATTCTAATAGTCACAAAATAACTTCTTTGCTCTAAGTTGGACCTGAACCTTGACAGCAGCTACTTTGAGGAGTTTAGGAAACTTGCCTGAATGAAGTGAGCACTTCATTAATGACTATAACTCAGTTCGAGCAAATTTCACAATAGTTTTGAAAAAGTCAGACGGTATTGAGCCAAGGCAGGTCATTGATGGGTTTCAACTGCTGAACGAAATTTGTGACGGCAACTCAGTTCGAGCAAATTTCACAATAGTTTTGAAAGTCAGACGGTATTGAGCCAAGGCAGGTCGTTGATGGGTTTCAACTGCAGAACGAAATTTGTGACGGTGTTTTGATCCGTCAATCAGTTCCAGCCTTCTAAAAAAAATTATTTTAATGAGGGGATAATATTGTACATTAAAAACCCGAGTAAAGACTTCATTATATAGGATAAAAAATAATTAGGCTGTTTTTTTTCCGACTGCATCAATTTAATTTCTATCCTGGTTTTTCCTGGTGTGCTCACCAGGGGGCAGTAGAAACTTGACAGTCAAACTGAAGCTGTCTCAACCGCTCTCTCGCTAATACAGCACTAACATTAATGCTTCACAGAGGATAAAGAAAATATGCCTGTGACCCCCCAACATACTCACGGTTCCCCACGGATTCGCCTGTTTGGGAATTCTTTATAAAATAATCCTTCAATCTTATAATTTCTGTGTGGGTGGGGAGCAAACCAGTGTTTTTTTTTTTGTGCAAAATCCTTCTTGCAGTATATCCCTGTTTTTTCAAAAAATAATTATAATTTTTTAATAATTGACTGATTTCTTCCCCAGTGGATTTAGAACTGATGTTAATTTGGTGCAGATTTTCACAATTGAATGTGTTGCTACATTTTTTTGTTCACTCCATTATCCTGAAGCATGATAGCACCGCAACACAGATGCTATGTTGTATGTTTAGTTTGACATTAAACTTCAACCAGGTGCATTTGTGAATTAAGAGTTAGGTTCAGCAACTATTGCACTGTTTTCTGAACCACAACTAAAATTTACAACGCATGGCAAAGTCGCTTTTGCGCCAAATCACACAAAACGGGATGGATGTTTGTTTGGATGTTCCTAACGTCTAAGAATTTTCATAGAAATAAAATGATGCATGAAACAAACAATTTAAAGTGTAAAAACTGCTGAAAAGCTAGAGAGGAGCCATTATAACCCTCACATATCAACTGATTTTTGCATGAAATCCTACCAAAAATGTATTTCATGTCAAGTGTGAGAAATAACGTTTTTATATATTTTAAATAATGACGACAGACAGTAAATGACGATCTTCAAGCACGAGCGCGTCAGTGAACAAAATGACGACTCAAAGCACTGGACATGGCAACGCATCATCATATTCCTCTTTATGTACTTCTGAAGCTGAACAATGTTTCTTTGCTGAGAATCAAAACGGCCCAAAAACACACAAAAAATGTACAGTCTCCTCTTATAAAAGGAAACCAAAAAAAAAAAATGTAAATAACATTTTCTTTCAGGAAAAAAACCCCAAATAAAAAAAGATTTAGCCATTAGACGTACAATTACAGAGATACATATTTTTCCAATACCGCACATTCAATCTGCCAAAACAAACAAAAAAAAAGTCATGATTACAAAGCCAACAATGATGCTGCCATATATATATATCGAGAGAGACAGAGCGAGAAAGAGAGAGAGCAAGAGATGTATGTACAATGATTATAGCATTCATAATTGCACTATGCCTCAATACATGTAAATTACAGGCTTGTGTTCTTGGGAACAAAGCAAAAAAAACAAACAAAAAAATACTCCAAAGTGACTCAAGGAAGAAGGATGAGGGAAACGGCCAATCATAAACTTTGGTACAAACGTTTATAACACTTTGCCTTCTTTCAACCTAGCATCAGTCAACAGGACAATCCGAAATATGCCAGGTGATAGGAAGGCGGGGCTAGTGGCTAAACACACATTTGGCTCCAAAATGTCTTCATGTGTGTGTTGAATTGCTTGCTTTTGGCATCGGACGACAAACACGCACGCACACAAAAAAAAAAAACAACAACCCCAAAACAAAACACAATAAAATGTGTGAATGTGGCACAGTTGAAATATCCATTTTCATTTCAGGTCACGCAGCTCCTAATATTATTTTGAACACCTCAGCCGGAAGTAGGCAGCGGGGAAGCTACCCAAAATGCATATGGAAATCTGCACTCGTATGGAAAAGCCATCTGAGCATTTAAAAAAAAAAAATCTGTGTACGTATATGCTCTTTGTCCCCACTAGTGAGAGGGGGGGGGGGGTGATAGATGTTTTGATCATCAATATTTTGGTTAAATGTCATTCTGTCACACACACACAAAAAAAAAAAAAAAGATCAGGGGAACGAGTGTTATCTTGACGGGCAGTTGCTCAGTATGCATTTTGGGTCAGCCCAGGCGGCGGTACCAACATAATCAGGATTCACATCCATATGAAATCAAATACTTTTAAAATCACAGTTTTTGCCTTTTTTTATTATTATTATTATTATTATTATTATGAGTCAGTCAAAAGCAACTGTTTTTAAAAAGGAATGCAAACCTTTTAGTCTCCATTTTTTTTCTATAAATTCTTCATTAAATAGCAACATAACATTTCAATGAATTTGCTCGCCTCCTCCTGACTACCAACACATTGGCAAATAAATTAGTATGAGATGCAAGCATTCGATTTGGATTTGTGAGCGCGATGCATCTCTTGACAGGTGGAGCCGGTCCTTAATTGTTACACCAGGTTGTATTCCTTCAGGTTGAGCTGCAGGATGGTGTCCTTGACGGCGGCAAACACGAAGCGGATGTTCTCCGTGTCGGTGGCGCAGGTGAAGTGGGAGTAGATGATCTTGTCGCTGTCGGGGTTCAGGTCCACGAACATCTTCAGGATGAATTCGCGGCCCGCCTGGGGGTCCCTCTGGGGACCTGGAAGGAGCGATCATGAAAGAAGATGAAGGGGTGGTGGTGGTGGTGGTGGGGTCGCATTTTTCCAGAATTTTGTACTGTGTGAAGGCAGGCCGGTGATCCAGCGGTTAGCGTGCGACCTCACACTGCAGAGGTACCGGGTTCGATTCCTCCTGTGTGGAGTTTGCGTGTTCTCCCCGTGTCTGCGTGGGTTTTCTCCGGGTACTCCGGTTTCCTCCCACATTCCAAAAACATACTTGGCAGGCTGATTGAACGCTCTAAATTGTCCCAAGGTGTGACTGTGAGTGCGAATAATCTTTGTGTGCTCTATGATTGGCTGGCAACCACTTCAGGCTGTCTCCTGCCTACTACCCGATGACGGCTGGGATAGGCTCCAGCACGCCCCGCGACCCTTGTGAGGATAAAGCGGTTCAGAAAATGGATGGATGGATGTACAGTGTGAAGGCACCAATATTCAAGCGGTGTAGAGGCCAAATCGCAAATTCGATTATTTCCCGAACCTGCGCTATCAAATGCATAAAGAAAGTGTAAAGTGAAAATTTGAAAAGAAATACGCCTTCTAAATTTGCGGGAATGCCGCAGTGTCTGGGACGGCACGGCGAAACCGGCAGTTTCTGGAGGTAGTACCACATGCGATCAATCGACGCTCACTTCTGCCGCCCCCTGCTATGTTGAAAGAAATTGTCTCTGTCCGACACTATTTACGTGTCGCTGTGTTAAACAAAATGGAGGCGGGACAGGTGAGGATATTCCACAGGCTGTGAGTGTCTCGGCCGTTTTACTCACCGTCGTACTCCGGGAAGTAATCGACCAGATGAGAGTACATGATCTTCTCCTCGAGCAGGTCCTTCTTGTTGAGGAACAGGATGACGGAGGAGTTCTGGAACCACGGGTACGTGATGATTGTCCTGAACAGCGCTTTGCTCTCCTCCATGCGGTTCTGCAAAGAACGCATTTGTATGCGGGCGGGGACCACAGCAAACGGCGGCCACGGTGACCTCGCGGAAAGGCCGCTTACCTCGTTGTCCGACTCCACCAGAACTTGGTCGTACTCGCTTAGCGCCACCAGGAACATGATGGACGTGAC